CGAGTTAGACTTTCTCTACTGCATTGGGCTCTACAAGAACTGCTGAGAAATATCGCTCAAGAAATGATTATCAAGCTTTAAGCTATTTTAAAATTGTAAATATTGTATTTTATAAATATTGGTTGTAATACATTGCAATGCCTTGTAGCGTATACTAAAGTCTTAAGCCCCTGCTCATCCCAAGTTTAAACTCCAATCATTTTTTTTTTAAAGTCAATTTAATTTTTTCAATAAAATAAAATGAGTTCACATAGCCGACAGATGCGCACCTTAACAACCAGTTAAGGCTGCAAATTGATTGCCATATTGGTTTGTTTTAACATATTTCATTATTAATCATCATCATCGTGATCATCATCATCATCATCATCGTCATGAACGCGTGTCAAGCAACTTTACCTTTCGCTCATTTAAATGGCAAGCGTCCAAACCAAAATAATTCTAATTAATAAATATATGTATAAAATGTAATCAGCATTGTTAATTAGGCACATCCGCTCAAAAATGCTCCCCCTCCAATCCACTTCAGTCCACTCCTCTTCAGTTTTGCTACGCTGCGTTGTCACCTCAAGCGAGTTTCATTCATAAAAAGTTTCGCTCGATTCGAATTAATTTTTTTTTTATATCTTTCTGTTTTTTTTTGTAACTTTGGATCTTATTTGCAGCAGCGGCAGCAGCAGCTGCCGCCCACATGCCGCATTTGCATAGTTTGTAAGCCAAGACAAGTGATCATGTAGTAAAGAGCACAAAATCGTTAAAAAAATGATTTTTCGATCATTCAATAATGAAATAAAATACCGGTTTACTGACTGCGGTTTCGATTATGAAACTGTGTTGTTTTTATGAATGAAAAACAACAACAACAACAACAACAGCAACAATAACAACAGCATCGGCAACAGCAACCGCAATACTTTGTCATTTACGTGAAATTTGCATCGGAGAGTAACAAGTTAAGTGTTCGAACCTAAGACTAACAATTACTCATACGTCCCATTGAGCTGGTATCTAAGGTGAATATTTAGTTCCGGCAAACTAATTACCAAGGCAAATCTTCTTAGCGAAATGATGCAGCAAGCCAATGAATCAACACTTCCGGTGGAGCAAATTCACATTTCGATGATAATCTTGTTGTGGTTTATATTGGGATGCAGCCATGTGCGGACAGGTGCTAGCTTAATAGGTAAACTGAATCATTTGCAAAGCTAATATATACAAAGCTTAACAAAGCATACATTATGTTTATTTCCTAGACTACCCCGTAAACATTTACGATGGGTGAACAGGCAGATGTAAACATCTCCGATCCCATTTATATATATATGATTATTATTTGAGTAATAAAGTGTGCTATATATGTTTGTGATTGTTTCCAAAATATTATATTTAGTTGACTTTAGGATTAACTAGCCGTGTAGTACATATTTATAAGAGAATTATGAATAAATTATACAAATTTATTAAACATAAATCTGGTAATTTGTTTACGCTTTACAACTTAAATCACGTATCGGATGTTGAGTTCACCAAGTGGCACAAGCTACAATAAAGTGATAATAATGATGTCAGCATTTTGCTCATTCAATGAATCAATGAACTAAGACTAAACCACTTTTTTCGACATTAACTAATGAAAAAAGCGATAAATAAACCTTAAAATGGTACAACTATACAAGGTGAAATATTTATGTATTATCCATACATTTCGGATTATTCTAATCAAAAATGAATGGAGAAAAATATGATTTCAAATACAGTTTCTGAACTTCCATAGTTCAAGAGCTGAAACAATCACTTTTAAATTGCTCAACTACTGATGAGCTATTTAATAGTTATACCTCTGACAGGACCTTTTTTACACATTTTTAATTATTAAAACACTAGAAACAGAGTACAAGGCAGTTGTGAAAATTTCGACTGTAATTTTCTATCATTTTTTTCCACCTGCCTGAGATGTCAGGTGATATTGATGTATGAAATATTAAAAGATCAAACAATTGTGTTTGCTGCGAAATAAATCAGTACATGAGCAGTACACAAAACGAGTGTCTGTGCAGACATTGAGCGACTTTCCAAAAACAAAAAAATTAAGTACATAAGACTGCAAAGACGAGGTCAAATCGAAGCTGTGCAATCGATTTTGCATGGCAGTTGACTGACGGACTGACTGACTGGCAGCCAGGCAGCCAGGCAGGCAGGCAGTGCAACGATCCAACGATCGGTGGATTGGACAGGCAATTTGTAGACTTTTAAAATAGTTTCACAAATGGTACAGCAGCCAAGTAGACAGCCACGGCAGCAAAGACGGCAAAGACTCGACTGGACGTTGAATCTGGCAACCTGTGGCAGTTGCTACGATCGCGGCAGCGATCAACAAACAAACAACAACACACACAAAAAAGCGCATGCAAATTAATAGCCAACTCTGGCCGAAAAATTAATTGATCACTCGAGACAGCAGTAACAGTAACAGAGTGTAGATATTGCAAACTGACCGATCGATAGCCGATAGTTACGAATTTGTGCTGGTAAGTGCCCGCATATTTGGCCCGATCATATTATGGCCAAACTTCCTGAGGTGGTAGTAGATCTATGCAAACCCGTTGTGTCTGTTTTTGATTGTCTGGTGAAATGTTTGAAATGTGTTTTTATTTTTTTCATGGCTCAATTAACAAATTTTTCAATTAACATATTCACGCAATAATTGCGGCGAGCTGGGCGGGGTCCACCCACGCTATTTGCTGTGGTCAGCGGTCGGTGGTGCTGCCCACGTTCAGCGTTTCAGACACGTGTCAAACTTCCGATCATTAGAGGCGCATCGCTGTTACGCCCACACAGTTGCAGCGGCTAAGACCAAGCCCTAATTAAAACTACAGACAAAACAATTTTAATGCCACACTTCGTATTTTTTTTTATTGAATACATTTTTTTTTTGTTTTTTTTTTTTTTGAAGGCCCAAAAAGCATCTTGATAAATGATGGAAAATGCAGTTTAGCGTGTGCCACCAGACACAATAGATATTGAGATTAATAATCGAAACGAAAGAAAATCTACAACGCATTTACTGCGTTGGCGATCGCCGATTAAAGATTGTCTAATGCTGCATAATTAATGACTTTTTGGAAAAACCACCAAAATTTGTCGGCCAATCTTGTGGATCTCCAAATAAGACAAGGCAAGGCAACAAACTCGTAAGCTGGTGGATAATATTGTTTTTTCATAGTAAAATCTAAAATTATTAAATTGAAATTAAGATGCACTACTATGTATATTATTTATGGAAGCAATTTACATATACTACATTAGAATGTTTTGAAGAGATTTATATAAAGTAGTCTATAAAGCCAAATCATGCCTAAGCTAGACATAAAATTATTAACTTATTATTTGTTTAGAAAAATCAACAATTAACTGCATTTGGATCTCATGCCAAACAAAATGTATCTGATAACCACTTCAAAATGATATCAGCTTCACATTTCTAAATCAAAGTGTAGATCATTTTTATAAAACAAAACAAAGTTGCAATCATTTGAAATTATGCTGAAATTTTATTTACTTTAAAAAATTAAAGGAACGATTTTAAATTCGAAATTATAATGCCTAATGTATGGCAGAGTGTGCAGATTTTAATTGAAATTGCCACAGAAATCATATCTCAAATGTGTTGCAATCGCTGACGGACCAACCCAACAATGCCGCCACCAGACTCAAGCAACTCGGCCAACAAAAGGCCTGCAGCCACTGGGACTAAGCCAAACTCATTGCAAATACACCTAAAATACACGAAAAACTTATTACATTTTTTATATATTTATATATACAGAGAGAAATAGTATATATATAATTTTAACTTGGGTTGCATTATCGTCTAATTGCATCGCCAGCGCCGACGTCGATGCTTGTGGCATTTGGCGCGTCAACAAACGAGCCGCCAACGCGGACACCGCCGCTAAAGACCCAGGGTTCAACTGTGCAGCACCACCCCCTCCTCCCACCACTACAACAACTGTAGCCGACTCACCGATCCTCAGTGTGGATTCGACCGCGAGCCGTTCCATTCATCATTTTTCGTTTAGTGACGCGCGTGCCTCGTGCGGCCCAAATTGACGACGGCTCTTGATGTTGTTGTTGTTTTTGTTGCTGATATTGTTATTATATTTTCACAGATTTTCGAAATTAAGACGTCATGATCTTGTCGGTGTTCAGGTCTTGGTCTTCGTTTCGGTTTCGGTCATAGTCAGGTAAGAATGGTATTCTTTCTTAGGCTATGAGTACAACATTTATTGCTTTCAAAAGGCACTAGCATGCAAGCTAAATATATAAGTGTATATATATATATATATCTTATAAACATATGCTTTCGATTTTGAACTTAACTAGTTTATGAATACTACGTAAATCAGTACAAATTGAAAATACAAATACAACATATGCAAATACAACCGACATATCAACTAACTTATATTTATATATGTATATATATATATATAAACTGCAGCTTGAATTTAATTCGTTTTCATGCTACTTTGTTATTATTTATGTATATTTCTCATATTTTAAATTCGTAATACGTGTAACATTGTAAATGTTCAAATACAAATATTCATCGGCTATGACGCAATATTCAAATATTTATTTTGTGAAATTTGGTTTCTAAGGAAAATTTGTCAAAAAAAATTTTTATATCGAAATAAATGCTATACAAAATTAATTTTGGTTTTGTATTTATATTTTCATTTTAGTCAATTAAATCATTCAAGCTCCGTGAAAATAAGTTCAAATTCAATCATCATTAGTCCATTTTTTCCCCAACTCAAATCATTTTTGATATGCTTAAATCTTTCACATTTATACCATCAAAATATTTTCTACAAACCACAATATTGAGATATAGTTTTGTGGTCAGATTATGAATATTTGTATATAAATACTTTACATTATTTTACATAGAAACTAATATGATTAACATGAAATATAATTAAATGAAATATAATAATAATATTAATAATAATAATTTCTTAGAGCTGCCTTAGAACTAGTAAAAATTTTTGGTTTACGCCTTTGGTGCAGTAAAATTTCAAGCGATTTACAGACTTATCGTTAGATAGCCCGGAAGCTATGAATATATATATACTGTATATAGTAGTTGATCGCAATCTCGTTCTCGTCCTCGTTATCGATAATTTAGTAACGATATCGTGAATGCTCTAGATCCGAAGCATCCTCGTCCTCCTCCTCCTCGTCACTGGTCGATGGCGGCGTCTCCAAATTGGCCACATCTACATCCAGATAATCCTCCTTCGCCTGCAGTAACTTATCCATATACTCTACGATCTCCGTGAAGGGCGGCCTTGCACTGGCATCAAAATGCCAACACTGTCGCATCAGAATGTATATATTCATCGAGCATTTGGCCGGTTTCTCCATACGCTGCCCGGACATGAGATAACTGTAAAGCTCCTCAGCCGACATAATTGCCGGATACGGTTGCGCTCCAAACGTCATGATCTCCCACAATAGAATGCCATACGACCAGACATCGCTCTGTGAATCGTAGAATTTCTCCTGCAGCGATTCGGGCGCCATCCATTTGATTGGCAGACGTCCGTTCGTATTTTTGCGATAATAATCAGTGCTCTGTATATCCCGAGCCAACCCAAAGTCGGCAATCTTCAGAACATAATCATCGCTGACGAGGACATTGCGGGCGGCGAGATCGCGGTGAATGCAACGCCGTGAGGCAAGATAATCCATGCCACGTGCTATCTGATGGGCGAACTTGATCAGATCCTTCTCGGTGATCAGATGCTGCGGTTCCGTCGGTGCCGACTGTGAACAGTTGTCCAATTGCTCCTTGCTCAGCTGTCGATTCTTGTAGAGGAAATCCTTGAGATTACCATGAGGTGCATATTCCACAATGACATAGAGTGGTCCACTCTGACTGCAGCAGCCCAGCAGATTAATGATATTTATGTGGCGTCCAATGATCTTCATCACCTCCATCTCACGCACCAAACTGGCAATATCATCATCCGTGTGACCCTCCTTGACCATCTTGACGGCGACAATCGCATTGTTAACCTCCGCCATGACGACACGCCCGAATGCACCCTCGCCAAGTGTGGCGCCGAGTATAAGTTGACTGCGTGTCAATTCCCAGTTAGAGTCCAGGGGAAACTCGTATTCGTTGAACGGTGCCGGCTCATTGCCACTCTGTTGCACAGTGGTGCGTTGCTTCTCGATGCGCACCACTGGCATAATCATAGTGTCCATGGAACCACCCGAGTCCCCACCGCTAGATGGCTTATAAATGATAACCTTCTTTGTCCATTGATGCACTGTCTCGATGCGTTGCTTGAGCAACTTTGCTTTCTTCATCTTGCTCACCGCATATGCCACAAAAATGCCGAGCATGACGAGTATTACAATCAGTGTTATCACAATGACCGTCATGGCATTTTCCCTAACCCCACTGGTCAGATTTGCCTCGAGCAGTTGGAAGCTGCGCACCACCCTCAAATATGCTCGACTCGTGGACTGACCCAAGCTATTGCTCTCGATGCACGTGTACCAGCCTTCCTGATCCTGGGTGACATTCTCGAACTCAAGATGGTCCACATCCTCGGCGAGAATGGTGAGGTTCTTGGAGCAATCGTTCACACTCTTGCAAGGCATAAACATCCAGGCCTTCTTGCTGGTCAAGTCCGACAAATATTTGCATTCCATTTTTCCGCTTTGGTTGATCAGTAGGGTTTTGTTCTCTGGCCCTGTGATCAGAATGGGCTTGTGATTTACCCGATCGGTGACCATCACAGTCATCACGTGACTGATACAGCTCAGGGGATTGCACACCTTGCACATATACTGATTCGAATCCTCCGGCACCAGATCCTCCATGGTTAAATAAAACCTGGTCTTCTTATAGGTGCCATAACTACGTGTCCAATCGCTTGTTCCATTGCGATACCATGTGATATTTGGCTCTGGATTGCCCACCGCCGGGCAACTTAAGGAAAGCGTTGAGGCCGAGGGTCGCGTATAAATTGTGCTCATTCGCTTGAGGTTCTTAAAGCGGGGCCCAAACTGTTGCTTAGTATCGTCGCCATTGCGTCCGGCGCTGCCAGGGAAACTTGCCTTGTCATCGTCATCCGCATCGGCATCAAACGCATCATCATCATTGATATTGTTTTGTGCTTGTGTTGCATTCATGTTGCTGTTGTTGTTGTTGTTGATGGGTAGACTGCCATAGTCCTTGTTTAGCTCCTGTGAACTACTCGCTGGTGTTGAACGTCGCGCTGTTGCAAGTGAGGCACATAAGAGCAGCAGAAGAAGCAGCAGTCTGCTTATTCTTCTCAAGCAGCTGGACGACATTTTATGGCATGTATTATGTATTTATTATCAGACACTTATTTAATTTCTTAATACTTTTTTAAGAATCGACTCCAGGTGCAATTTAATTGTGTTATAAGATATATTCAATATTAACATGACTTAAAGCATTTTACATAGTCCAGTTTTATTTACTTTGTTTTCAAACCAGGGATCCAGTTGGTTTGCTGTGCAGCTTTAGGTTTTTTTCCAATATATATATATGTATTTATTTATTTTTTAACAGTAGCTGTTCCTGCGACCCTGAAGTGGCGCTTGGCCTGCTGCTTTCTCACTGCAGAGTCGCCTCTCGAATGCCAAATGGGGGTAGCAGCAACTTCGTCGTGTGCCGCATATGTTGTTGATATGTTGTTTTTTTTTTTATTCACCGGAAATCCACTTTAGTTCAAGCGTTTGCTCTCTATCCACCCTCACACAATCATGCTCACTTTCGCTCTCTCTTCGGTTGTGGCGCTCTTGGGCAGATCAGTGATCTTCTAGTGTTTTTTTTCTTTTTCTTCTAATTTATGGATGGAAATAACAACAGTTGCCGCTTGGCTCAACTTTGATCGCCAGCAACATGTGTGTGTGTGTGTGTTGAACGCGGCCACTTTGAAGTGATCGGAATAGGATGCTGATGATCACCTTGCAAGTAACGGAAATACACTTCCAAAAATTGTATGTATGTGTGTGTATATAATGTACTCATGGATTCTTAATTATCGTCACTAGTTGTGATTTATTCAGAGCGCTGATGGATTTATGGCAGGCATGTTTGTCGCGATCGTGGGCGTGTTGCATCTCATAGATCATGCGGCAGCTGCAGCAACACCTGAAATACAGAAATGCAGTTGATTAGATTTATGCTTGTTTCCGTTTATATTTTTATGTTTCATCTCAAAAGCAATCTGACGATCGCGACATGTACATGTTGTAATAAGACGGCGCCCCTTGAGCAACCGCAGAACAAGTGCGGCAAGCGAATGTATCTTTTAATCTGCATCTACAAACCAAAGGGTTGCACGACATGAGAAGAAACGTGGGGGAAAGTCCCATACAACAGCGCATCATTTAGCAAAATTGAAATGAAATTGTAAGGCGTACATCCGTTTCCTCTGTGCCGGAAAATGTCAATATATTGAGTTCAATAATATTATTAATTTTCTGTTTTTTTCTTCTTTTCAATAAACACATCAAATTCGTAGGAATCGCTTATTATTATTATTATTATTATTATTATTATTATTATTATTATTGTGCCTGAGCATTTTTGATATTTGCGCATATTCCTCCATTTCTTTTCGTGCAGTTACACTTTAATTTTCGGATTGTTTACTTTACTCAATTAATTTCAGACTTAACTACAGAGATTTGTGCTGGCTGTGACTTTGATTAAAAGCCATTTACATTTTGGCGAGTCTTAATTAAAATGTCGCGAACATTTCCGCCCGAGTTTTTGAAGCGCGTGTCACACAAATTGAATGGTCTGAAAAGCTCAGATCTGCGTAGTTAAAAAATATCTATATACGAAATCACATTAAAAAAAAACTCTGACAGCTTTTTGTTTTTAAAATAGAATTACGACTAACGGCGACGACTACATTAAAGTAAAAAACGTATACAAACATGTATATAACATGAAATTATATTTCTGAAATGCTGCCACTTTTATGAGGTCCATTAAAATGGAACTGTTTGTAACATTTGGGTATTTTTTGGGGCTTTGAAGGCCCGCAGCAAATGCAAAACTTTTTTTTTTTTTTTTTGTTTTTGTTTTTCATTCCACTTTTGCCCTTCTATATTCGTCAACTAAACGAGTAGCTAAACATATCACATCTGTGTGTATATATATGTAGATATGTATGTACATTTATGTACTATATAGAGCAGAAATTGAGGGACGTTGTTTACCTACAAGTACTTGGTACAGCAACAGCAACAGCCACAGCAACAGATACAGCTACAGCTGCATGTAGTTCATTTGTATGGCAGCTACTTTTCGATAATAGTCTATTTTTTGCACAAAACACACAAATACAGATGCAGATACAGAGAGACACACACACACAGTAGTATAGAACAGTAGCGATCGTTTATAGTATGGCGTTGAGAGGGTGCGATTTGTATTTTTTTGTTGATTTGTTTTGCCTTATTCTGCGATCGCTTGTATTTTGCGCGGCAGTTTCGCGTTGTGAATTTCCGTAGCGCTGCTCGAAAACTGTTCTAAATTCAACAGAGATGACTTTGTAGCAAGCACGTCGCGATCGCCTAACAGAGGCCAGGCACACAGATGCTGCTCCTACGCTCACCAAAAAAAAAAAAAAAAACAGAAGTGGAATATAAAAACTTACATACATACATATGTGTATGTGTATGTGTATGTGTATGTGTCTGTGTCTGTGTATACAACTGAAAAAACTGAGCGTCCTACTCACTGTCGCAACTGCGACTGCGACGGCGGCGACGACGACGACTGCGCCTCAAACGACTCAATTTAGTGGGCCTGCTACCCTGCGCTTCCACTCTTGTTATTCCATTTTACATTTTGCCGTTAAATTCAATGTTTGTTGCTGTTGCTGCTTGTTTGTCGTACGTTGCCTTTGCTTCCCGCATCTTTTGCGCCTTTTCGCTTTTCAAAACGGTTTGCGGCAGACAGCCTTAATTTTTCACATATGCGTGTCGATGCACTCTCTCTTTCTCTCTCTCCCTCTCTCTCTCTCTCTTTCTCTCTCTTTCACTCAATCAGTCTCTCTTTCTCTTTCTCTGTACACACATGAATGTATGCCATTCTCGTTCCCGCAATCGCTCTCTGCTTAATTAAAACAGACACAGTCGCTCTCAATGTGCTCATCTGCGATCTTTGCAGCCCACATCTGTGCCACCAGAGGCAACAAAAATTAAAAGAAATTAAAAACAAACAATAAAAACCAAATAAATGCGACTATTAGATATCCTCTAGCGACCTAGTTACATCTTAAAATCAGCATAGTAAAGCCGAATCATTTAAATGCTAATGCACATTTTTTTATACACTCCAAGAACATAAAGTTTATGGACTTATCTGTGAGAATATATCTGAGATATAGCAAAGCAGGTTATGAGAAATTTACAACTGAAAACATGACCACCTAACTGACATACATTAAATTCAATTAGCAGAAAAGTCGAACTCAAAAAAAAACCTCATTTTTTAACCATGAGCTGATTTTTTCTTATCAACAATATAATTATTATTAATCAAATATTAACATTAGAAATATTTGAAATCTATCAAAACTTACTTAATTCAGTCCACATTTTTTCGACAAGTTACACAGTATAAAATATTGTTGAATATAAGAAAATTTAGCAGGCCTAAAACTTTCTTAACTTATAGGGTATAAAATATTGTTTAATGTTTTCTTCCCCGTCACGCTGGCCACCAGCCGTTCAACGTTTACCGTTTACCCCCCTTTTAAAACAGATATCCGTGATCGGTCCCGGAGTACCCGTTCGAGGCACAAGGGGAAATATTGTCTCGAGTCGCATTTGTTGCGCTATTGTTGTCATTCGAACTGAGAGGGACACGCTGTGGCAGCAGTGCATCGCATCGCATCGCATCGCAGCGCAGCGCATCGCCTCGCCCTGTCTGACATGTGGGCACATCATCATCATCAACATCAACATCAACATCGAGAAAGGCGGGTCTGGGCTCTTACCTACAATATAGCCTGTGCCTCCAGACTTGCCTCGATTTCTGTTTGCCGTTCGTGCCACATGTGTTGCATGTGTTAAAGCGGCCTCTGTTCCCCATTGGAAACCGTCTGGAAATATCATGTGGAAGGGTTGGTTGCCACGAGTTTCCCGATCACGTCAGTCCCAAAAAAAAAAAAAGGCGGAAAATCTTTTGACCTTCGCACCATGCTCGACTTATAGGTAATATATTTCCTGCGCTGGTCTAAAAATAGACACATTATTTGCAATTTTTGGCAAAATAAATAAACACAAAAAAATAGAAAAAATCTTCAGTCAGCAATTAAGTGGAATTTTTTTCACTGAAATCAAATCAATTTCAAATAGCTTGCTTACTTTTCGTATTCCACAGAAACAACACGAATGTGCGATTTGAAATTAATCGTTGCATGTGAGAAATAAACATTTTTTGCGAACGAAAATACGTGAGGAAAATGAATATTATTATTAACTATTTCAGGTGTGAGTCTATCGAAACAGTGCAATGCAGTTCTACAACAAATAGCTGAACACACCAGAACGCATCTATGGCGATCTCTACAGAAATGGGAACAATTCAGTGGCCACCAAAGCGAACAAAACAGAAGCTAAAACAGAAACTACAAAACACATCATTTTCAAATGTTTGTTTACGCGGCTAGAAAATTATTCCATGTTCATATCTCAGCTATAATGCCGACGCCTCGGCCGATATATGTACGTGTTGATAAACACACAGCGAGAGCATTTACATGCATATATATATATATGTATATATATATATATGTAAACACACTAAAACTAAATGAAGCCGAATATAATAATTTTCATGGGAAAAAAGCCAACTACTGGGCAGCTACATAGTTATTGTACGAGCATATAATGTATATTTTTATTTGTTGTATGTTCGAAAAAGTGCTTTCAATTTGGTCATAAAGCATAAAATTTGTGGCATGTGCCCCCACAAATGCGATTGGGGGGCATAAAGAAAATAAAAACAAGGGTATACGAAAGAAGAAAAAAAAAATGGTTTTGATAATTGAACGATTGACTGCGGACACAACACAAATTGGGGACGGGGCACAATAGTTGCGACTATGCATTTGTTTACCCCACAACGAAACCAAACAAAAAGCGGGTTAAAAAAGTCAAATTGCTGTACGGTGGTCAATCAAAAAGTGGTCTAAACAAATCATTTGCGCAATTACGCAAGGCAAATCGTAGAGAGAAAACTACGCACAGCGAAAACTATTTTATATATATACTAAATTCTTTAACTATATATATATAGGTATATATATATGTATTAAGCAACTTACCTTAGAATTGATTTTTCTTTTAGTGATGCTCTTGCGAAATCGTATCCAATATGTATCCACGCCTTGCTCTAATGTAAATTTTCTTGTGCAACACAAATTATTTTTCTTTGGTTTATATCTATATATTTATGATATTTATTCAGCGCTTTTAGCGTGCCACTTAAAATTCCAGAAATATTTCTATGGCACACTAGAATAAATAACTGCAGGCACACTTGAAACTGCCACCACTCGCACATACACACACAGTCAAGCACAAACACGCGGAAAACCATATAAATATATTCAAGTATTTTGAATAGTATTCAGTATTAATAATTGTTGCACATTCAGCTAAAGGTAGTTGATTCAATTTAGTTCGTATTCGGTAGGTAACTGTAGCGCCTGTTGTTGGATCGCAACTGAAATATGCTCTCAGCGCTCGACAAATAAATCTCTTCAATTGAATGAGGGCCAGAAATGAAACGAATTTCGACGAGTGGCTCGCTGTTTGTCCCCTCTCTCATTTGAGCATTTGCTGGAAACAGTCTCTTCATAAACAACATACAACAACTGCTAATACAATACTATACACACAACACTCAGCACACATTGTATAATCCCACTAAGAAGGGGCTGGCGAAGTGCAGAGGCAGGGGCATGGGCAGAGGCAGGGGGAGTGTGCCACACACATGTGTTTCTGATGCTGCGTGCTGCTTCTACATTTGCTGTTCGGCCTTCCCATGAAAAGTGAAATGTAATTGAGTGTTTTTCTAAATGCAAACATATGTGTGTATTCTGAAATTGAGTCAAATGTGAATCGAAATGAATTCGCTCAACGCACGGCGTACATTTCACGGCCGAAAGTGTGGCATAGTTTTGTGCGCCAAACTAAATTCAAACAGTGTAATTGCAGCAAGGGATGTGTGGAAATGTGTAGTCAATTTCGAAAAGTTTTCTTTTATTTATAAATAGGGAAACTTAAGTTTATGCATGCAAAATATTAATCCAACAACAGCTTGCTTTATTAAAACAATGATTCTTATATTATGAACATTATTAATTAATAATTGAACTATTTATTATACATTTTTTTAAATCTATATTATTACAGTTTATCAACCAAACACCAGTATTTTTATGATTTTTAACTTTGAAGAAATATTAAAATTAAATTATAATGAAACGAAAATCAGCATAAGTCAAAAATAAGTCATTTACAGATTGTAATAAATTTCATTTGTTAGACACAAATTAATAGATGGAAGCCCCCTCAAATATCTACAGCAACATTATATGCGACAGATAGATAGTCTTTGGCACATTAATCAATTGGCTAACAAGTTTTAAAGTTTTGTCGTTGGCTTCACGCCGCATTCCGCATGTTAGCCCTGAAGTTGGGATGGAAATGGGATTCATTAGTCGCCACAATACGGCACTAAGTAAGTTAACAGTTATTAATTACGGGCTACTTAGCTGGCTGGCTCTTTGGATGTACAGATACAGATACAAAGATACAGCCGAATGTCCAGTAGCCGGGACAGGCGGGCAGAAGAAAGCCGTCTATTGAAAAGATACTTGAGAGCATCAAAGCACACACGCTGCGATCTACGAAATAAGACAAAGAAGGCAATTGTCAAAGGGTTGCAAAGAACAATGAGAATACCAAAAACTAAATAATAGTCGAAAACAATTAACGATCATTGGCTGTCAATTGTGTGGAGGCCCCGCTTTGTGGCAAATGGCGTTACGCATGGCTGATTAATTGATGGCTAACTAGTTGGTGCCTGCCGGTTACACTTACTGACGTTTTACTTCTTTTCTCCTTCTCCTTCTTCTTCCTCTTCGTCTTCTTCTTCGACTCTTGCTTGTTTTTCCTTTAGTTATTGCTGTTGTTGTTTATGTTTCGTTATTTCGTTATTTCAATATGCGTTTGTTCTGCGCCAGTTTACGGCCTCGTAAAGCGACCAGCACCCCACCAATGTACGGTCATAATACTTAAATTTTATGCACTTAACTGGCTACTCATATGCGCTGCATAGTGGATTGGGGTGTGCGGGGATAAGTTGCGGTTCAAGCCTCACCAGCTTCCGTATGCGTTTCAATTTGGCCAGCACACAGGCCAGAAATGTTGTTGGCATTTCGTACATAGATATAAATTTTGAAAATTGGCTCAGCTCAGCCTGGGAGCGGGAGCTGCAATTGGAAACGGGACCAACAACAACCACAAAAAATAACGAAAGCAAAATTGCTCGATTGCCGAGTATTGAACTAGTAAATACCCTGATATAAGACTATCAATAGATTTTCCAAAGTTCTTACTTAACAAATATTAATAACTTTCTGCAAAAAATATTATCTTCTTTGTCGAAAACTAAATAAGTTGCAAGAATAGTTTGATATCAATAAAATGATGCGACTTATCTCGCCAGCTAGATTCTGAATAGACTAAGTACGTTCTAGGCAATTGCATTATACCCAATTTACACATTTTGATTGATTCCAGGGTATGCCAAAAAGAAAACAGAAACTGGCATCTTCGAATTGCACTGACATTGTCGGCTTCTAAGCGAGTTTGCGACACGATCCAGCGATGGACCGTTGCGACGATCTCGTGCAGTGCAGCCAAACAGCATAAAGTTAATTGCTAATATGATTAATTGCACATTAACATGAAGTTTTATAGCCAATTATATGCAAAATATGCCACGTTTACCAATTGCTGCACTTGAAACCGAATGCATGAGAATTTCACTGACAACATCCCGAGAAGCTTAATGCAATCACGTAATATTTTTTTCATTTTGAGAAACTAAAGTCTGACGCCTTCTAGAAGTTCCCAGATTCTCACACTTTTGCTTCAGTTGATAGTTTAATTTCAGTATGCTTTTTTTTTTAAGAGCAATATTAAAAAATATCTGTAATGGCTGACAGTCCTTTTGCCGTTTTCCACACAGTTGTAAGACTTAAACTAAATTCTGAAGAATTTAAGAAATACATTTTAGTTGTTAAATTAGCGTTTTGGCTTACTTGGTAAATTCAGCAGTGTTTTATTTTTGAGGAGTATTTTTATGAATTTTTAAATAACAAACAATTTACTCACATATTTAGAAAAGATTGCTGTAGCTATTGACCATCTTTTATTTAGCATTCTTTTCGCTCTTGGAAATCCTGGTCGTCTTAAGCTGCACACAATGTCAATAACTTGCCATAATATATGCAAATCTATGCACTGCAATTTGGCGTCATCGAGTGGGTGCTTCAGCTATCTCCACCTCACTCCCCTTCTTGGCCATCTCATTCGATGTTGTTGCTGGTTTAGTTTTCAGTTTCGATTTCAGATGATGCGGGCTTGAAAAGCCAATAAAAATGCAATGCTGCCTGCAGTCAAAACAAAGCGCAAATCACATTTCAAATCACTCAAAACTATTGAGATTTGAATTTGAATTATTGGTCCCGGCGCAAGAGAGTCCAAATTGTATCTTGAATCTATATATGAATGTATGTACATATGTACATATGTACATAGATAGATGCCAGAGCTGCTCTCGACAACGTTTCCGGTCTTAAATCTTGAGCGCGTTGAGCTAATCATAACTTACAATGTGGTCCGGCTATTTGACAGGCAGAAAACGGCCACAGAGCCGTTGCCAAGAGGATCATGGATCATGTTTGCTGTTGTTGTTATTTATGTTGTTGTTGTTGCTGCTGTTGCTGTTGTTGTTGTTGGTGAAGCTTGAGGCTGGCAAGCTGTGCGAGCTGTCAATGAACTTGTACGCTTTTGATTGATTTATATTGTGTTTTGTTGCCGTAGCATTTTTGAATATGTACGCTTGTCTCTGTATTTATGTACCGACGAGTTTTTATTTTCTATCTATACAATAAATAGTAAATCAGCTTACACTTTTCTCGAGATCTTGTTTTCGTAGCCGAAAAAAAAATGTCAACAATTTTCGGCGACAACACCTGAATCGTGCACAGTAAAAAATTAGGGCTTACATCAAGAATGTTGTTCAAAAATTTGACAAAGAATGTTTATTAGAAGCATAGTGTACAAAATTATGTTAATGAATATATGTTATACACAAATATTGGATACATTTATGGAAATTTGTTGTATACCTTAATATATATTTTATAGAACTAGAAGATGCATATAAAATATGTAGTATATATTCTTTGACATATTTTTGTACACCATTCCTCTACTTCAGTTACAATATATTATTTATATTGTATATATTATTGTCAGATTAAAAATATTGCTGGTATTTATTATAGTTATTTTATATTAACTGGAATTTTGATTGAATTTTCATAAGATATTTGTTACTGTGTATATTAATTATATTAGATACGGCCGATATCTGAGCAACACGATCTCAGATCAGGCAACTACTGTCGGCTCTGTTGACTCTGCTTGGCCATGGTTTTTGTACCTTAGTAGGCCATAATTTAAAGCCGCCCATGAGGATGCTGCTGCTGAATGCATTTTTTGCCATAAAACTGGCGCTTAAGAGCGCATTTTAGCAGACCCCTGGCCGGATTGGGCTTGGCGCGGGCGTGGCCCAGCCGGGAACAGGCTCTGTCTCAGGCCCGTCCTTTAGCTGGTCTGGACCATAATGCCTAATAATAATCATGTGCTGTAATTGACGATTTATGCTAAGCCCAATATAATTTACGCCGTTGGAAACGTTAAGGCGGCGCCCCACGTCTCAACCCCTGGTAGAGAGGAGAGGGTGTGGAGGGGAGGGCTGCTCGAGCTAGGTGGAGAAGGAAAACAACAACAACAACAACGACGAGACGCATAAATCATAACTGCACCTGGCCCAAGTAACGCTGGCACTGCACCACTACAATATCTGCTGGCTACTGGCGATCAAAGTCAGCTGAATTCCCACACACACCGGCCATGTAACTTGGGCATACATATGTACATGAATACGTAAGTACACACTTACATACATAGAAGTACATACAGGGTACTTAGAATGTCGCGCAGGTTACACAATGCCAAAAACATTTGCACAAGTTAAATAGCTATGGCGAATTATAACAAAGTACGAATACCCTTCACCTTCAACTTTAAGGCATGTTTATATTATGTTAAAGATATGAAATAAGCAGCACACATTTCTTAAATACAATAAACCATCTTGGCAGTTCATTGATATAAATATAGTTATAATATATCAAATACAAAATATATTTTACAACCTCCAAAAACAAATGTTAATTTCCCATACTTAAAAGAATACTTACGGATTTATGATTGGAAAGTATGGGAAATTTCAGTTTCTTTAGTTGACTCCCTTCTCTCGTATGATTTTATTA